TGGACGGTTAAACTGTCCCGGTCCATTTCCTTGCGTGCCAAATGATGTCAGAAAGTGTCCCTCTTTAGTGAAGACTGAGATATTGTTAGCAGAGTCACTAACATAGACTATGTTGTTTGAGTCCATGGCTATTCCGTTCTTTTCGCTTCCTCTCTTCTCAAACTGTCGAATGTACTCTCCATCTGCTGTGAACACTTGTACTCTGTGGTTAAAGTATCAGCAATGTATACATTCCCAGTGCTGTCAAAACTAACTCCAAGTGGATTATTGAACTGCCCATTGCCTGAGCCTCTGGAGCCAAATGTCTTGTAAAATGTCAGGTCTTCATTGAGGATCTGGACTCGGTGATTACCGGCATCTGTAACATATATCTTCTTGGATTGAGGGTGCACAGCAATACCTACAGGGCTAGGTAAACTGCAGAGGTCCACTGCCTTTGGTGCCAATACATTTCACTGACTTTCCATCAGGAGAGAAGACCTGAATTCGATGATTGCTTGGTCGGCCACCAGAATATCTCCAGTTGCAGAAAGAGCTACACCACATGGGCTATTCAGCTGACCTGGACCAGAGCCTAGGCTGCCAAATGATCTGACTTTCTCTCCAGAGCCACTGAATATTGTTACACAGTGTCCATCATTTCAACTACTACTAACTGTCCCTTATTGTCGAGAGCTAAACCCCAAGGACCTTTGACACCAGTGATGATATTGGTGGGTGTGGTGGTGATGACAGAGAGAGGGAATGGACTTCCTGAGATGTGTTTGTCTCCTACTCTGATGTGGAGGTAGTGTGGTCCTCTGTGCTGGGGGAGGTAGCTGATCTCGTACTCCCCGTCTCTCACTTTCTTTGCCTCTCCTCTCACTTGCCTGGACCCATCACTGGACACCAGTTCACAGCTCACCTTCACTGGACGACTGTACTTCCTCCCCTCCTGGTCCACCACCTCCACTGTAGCTGTGGTTCTCTCTCCTACCACTGCTAACTTGAGTCCATCACCTTCAGCACTACACTTGGCTACAGGATTGGCAATGACTTGTCCGTATTGCTGGCACATCTGAAGTAGTTCATTCTGACTACAGTTGAATTCCAAGTCAGCTTGTTCCTCTGGTTCCAAGGACTCTGGCTTGAGGGAAGATGTCACGTCTTGGACCTGCTGCACAAAAGGTTTGGCCATGGCTAGGATTTCTACCTGACTGCCAGTTCTCAGGCTCTCCTGCAAGAACCCACAGCAGCTCTTCAACCGAGTGCCAACCAGTTCCAACTGGTCTTGCTGGGCAGCTACATTCTTCAGCTTCTCCCGAGTCATCTGGTCCAGCTGTGAGACGAGGACTTCTTCTCTTGCCTCGAGAGCTTGGTGGCCGAGGCGAATCTCTGCCCTGATCTTGGTCTCCAAGGCCTGGCGTTGGCTGGTGATTTCCCCAGACAGAGACTTGAGGTCCTCCAGAGCCTTGTTGACCGAGGCTAGCTGCTGCTCTACTGGCTCAACTGAGGAAACCAGCACCTTCTTCTGTTGTGGGAATGCGTCGGTTGCCAGATCGTACTGGTGGTCGCGATGGATTTTCAAGACACAGTGCTGGCAGATTACCTCTTTACAAGTCTCACAGTAGATGTCTAGCTCTTTGGTTGGGTGTTTGGAGCAGTTCAGAGTCTTCTGGACTGGAGGCACAAGATTAGTTGCGTCTGCTGTTAGCTGGTCCAGGCTGACTAGCTCGTGAGAGGAAAATTCATCCCATTCTAGATGTGGTTTCTTGCAGGCATCGCAGAGGAACCCACAGGACCGACAATAGCAAGTTGGGTCTCGTTTTTTGCATTTTGTGCACTTGGTACCAGCGGGGGTGCTGACTTTCTTGAGGATGTCTTGGATGTCGAAGAGGTGGTGGATGAGGAAGGCTCCCTGCAGGCCAGAGACTCCTTCCTGGGGCAGGGAGGTGAGGTGGCGACAGTTGGGGCACTCCACCACCTGTCCCTGTGGGGTCTGGCGTGCCACTGGCTTCAGGCACTTCTCACAGAAGACATGGAAGCAGTGGAGGAGTTTTGGGTCTGTGTACTGGTCCAGACATATTGGACAAGTCAACTCTTCATTCAGTTTTTCTAGCGCTTTTTCAGAAGACGAAGAACCCTCAGCCATAGCTATCAAGCACAAGCCAGAGCAAATGCACAAGCCTCAAGAACTGAGAGAGAAGGCTGCCTCACCTATTTATGTGGAGGGCACTGTCAAAACATTACCATTTTAGGCTATATTTCCACTGACCACTAAGCGGTAGAGTGAAAGACCAACCAATGAGAGAGCAGGACTCAAGAACATTCACAGCAAGGGACCAGTAGGAGTGCATGGGGTGATATGAACAGACTATGCCCTTACACCACCCCTTTCCACCTACTGCATTATCTGTGCCACACACAGGCAGGCTTAACACAGTTCTTGTTAGGTAAGAAAATTATGGTGTGAAAAGAGGTCTGCAGCTTTTGCTTGCAAGAAGTGCGACAGTCAAAATACACTTTTGGTGATGTGTGTTCTATGTATATACATGCAAATAGATATTTTTGGGCCTGTCATGTACAGTAGTACGTATGTAGATATAAATCACGGGAGCCTGGATTAGGGAGGCACACCACAGAAGTGTGAACTCACAGCAAGAGGGGAGAGATTGAGGCCACTGTCAACTAGCTTCTTCTCCAGCTCACTCACCTTCAGAGCACCCATCTATAATACAGTAACATAAGGACAAGTTACACATAGAAGGGCCCGTAATACACAACCACATTGTACATGTATTGCTCATTAAATGCACTGCAAAACAGAAAATTGTGCTGCGAAAAAAATCACTTGGAGTTATTCATTCTCACAGCAGTCCTGTGGAGGAGGGCTGCAGTGTCACTGTATCTCTCTCTGGGAATGGAGCAGTGCTGTAGAATGGCCTCCAGCAGCTTCATGTGGTTCACCAGAACAGCAAACTGCCAGTGCTGGGGTCGTGGAACTTCCGACAGGATCTCCGACACCACGTACATCACCTCTGCATCTGGCACCAGTCTAGGGTGGGTGGGTGGGTGCGGTGGGACGGGGAGAAATTGGGAGAGATTGGGAGAAGAAAGGGGAAAGAGGGAGCACTAAAAGAGAGAGTGTGAGAGAGAGTAAACTTTTCACGCGCGCCGCTATGCATCATAAGCCAGATGTATCCTGGGTCTGAACACACCTTCTGCTACAGTGTACATATGAAATTGCCGTGGTGAGTTCCTTTAGAGGATGTGATGCATTAGCAATCAGGGGATATTTAAGACACCACCAAAGTATATACACTTTTCACTAGTGAAATGGACTGACTTGATGTTGTCAGAGTGTGGAGGAGACGGAGTGACAATGTCAAACTGAGCCTCAAACTGCTCACGTGGGTGTGCCCCCAGCACCTTGCTCTCATGGTACACTGGACCAATGGTATACCTGTGGATGGGCGGGATACATATGGAGGGAGTATGGAGAAAGGAGGGAAGAAACAGGAGGGATTTCAGGAGATGTGGAAGTACAGGGGATGGTAACATAGGGTAATCTCGATTATGAGATGTAGAGAGATAAGCATGTAAATAACTATTGCAAGTAGAGGCAACATGAAAGAAACATTTATATAGCTATTTAGTTCCTGTGTGTTTAGCCACTATCATTATACTGAACTAATGGAGGACTATTTGCACACCATAATCGCAATGTAAACACACAGAAGGTAAGGTTCACAATATGTCACATTGCCATGTCCCACTGTGCAGCATCGACAGGGCAATGTGACATATTGTGAACCCAGCCCAAGGGATAATGGGAGAAAGAGAGAGAGCCTACCTTTTTAAGTAGGTGAGGTCTTGCTGGTGCAGCAGATAGTGGGCCAGTGGGAGACGATGGTCACTGGGGAGGGTCACCACGGCTCCGTTCCGTTCTATGAACTGTGGTATGGACTGGGGACTGGAGTAGAGGTGGCTGGAACGGGGACAGAGCAGTGGAGGCTCCACACGAGATGCTCCTGCAACACGTGTATACACAGCGACTGACATTATGTACACAGCCCACACTGATGTATGGTATGATGGTCCACGCAACTGAAATAAAAGTGTTGCTTATTGCATGTTGCATGGACCTATATGTATCATACATTGAAAGTGCATGGCTCAAGGGTGTGTGGTGTTTGTTGGCCTCAACCATAGAGTGTAGAGTTGTCCTACCATGTCTGGTAAAGATGGCTGCAAGTTTGGAGACTACCATTTGTTGCAGCAGAGAATACACCAGAGAGAACTTGTTCTGAGAGAGGGGGGGTTGAAGATATGAATAAACTGCTTCAAACATGTGCCCAGTTTAAGCTCTAAGAGCACACCATGCGCTCCATGCAAACAGTAGCAAAGCGGGCATATGTCTGCAGAACAACATGGACTTGGTTCAACACACAGATTCTCACTCTCTTGGGTCTGTCTCTCTTGTTGTCCGCAGGCTCCTGATAGAAGGACCACGGCCTCAGTTGAGGAGCATCTGGCGAGAACAGCTTGTCAATCAGATGTTGGTAGCGAGTGGAGTTGGTGGACTGACAGAGAAGAGGGAGGGGAGGAAAGGAAGGCAGAGAAATTAAGAGAGGAACATAAAGCGTGAATAGTACTAGCAAATGGCTGAATGGAAAACGACTCAATGAGTGAAATAAACATGAGCTTCAAGGGGGTTGGACATCTTACTGGACCCTATTGTAAATCTAGCCCTCACGTATTGCTACATTCGTAAAATTTAGCAGACTAAACCCTCCACAAAAGAATCGTGTTTCCAGCACTGATGTTGAGACCTGCATGGTTCTTGAGAGGACTTCCTCCAACTGTTCGTCCTCCATCTTGAGTGGCAGGAAGTGGGACTGGAGCAGATCCTTGGCCGAGGGTCTGGAGTGATGGTCGTGCGTCAACAGCCACCGGATCACCTCCACCTGCACACACACACACAGCCCAAACTAACACTTACTATCATAGCCTCATACATACATCTGTAATTCTTGTAATGTAACGCGCTGATCCATACTTTAGTATCACTGTACTCATAGTGACGCTAGGGTAAAAATGGGTCGTGGTCGGAATTACTAAAATTGAATCAAAATCTGTAAATGCACCGACAACCATGGCAAATACAATTTTCTCCAATAGCCTGTTTGAAGCAAAAAAAATTGATGATAAGCCTTTGTTGTAATATTTTGCTAGGTTGACAACTCATGGTGGTGTAGTAGAGCTACGTACCTGTTTCTCCCTGCCAGCCTCAGTGGTGAACCCGGGGGGAAATAGGATTTCCTTCCTCCGAACACCGGCCAGCAGTTTGTGTCTCTCCATCGACGTGCTGCACGGAGGATGACACATCTCAAACAGAATGATCCCCAGACTGTACAAGTCCACTTTCTGCAAGGAGGGAGAGGGGAGAGAGATGGTGTGTGTGCGAAGCTTGTCATCAAAACTTTCCAGGGGTGTACGGTGCCCTATATGGTCGTCTAATGTTCCTTCATCAATTACATTTTATACGATGGACAGCAGCAAGCTTTTGAGGAGAAAATATGCACATATTGTCTAATTGTACAAATTTTTTATCCACACCCAAAAAATTCGCACAGAGATCACGAAAACGTGTATATACTTTGTGGAGGACTCTCATGCCTCAAACGTTTTCTGCCTCAAAGCTTCCCTGTAAGTAGTACATAGTAAGTAGTATAGTAAGTAGTACATAGTAAGTAGTACATAGTAAGTAGTATAGTAAGTAGTACATAGTAAGTAGTACATAGTAAGTAGTACATAGTAAGTAGTATAGTAAGTAGTACATAGTAAGTAGTACATAGTAAGTAGTATAGTAAGTAGTACATAGTAAGTAGTACATAGTAAGTAGTAAGTAGTATAGTACATAGTAAGTAGTAGTACTGTAGTTGACTTGTTCGCCTTGCCTACCTCGCTACCAAGTTGTTGAGACATACATGTAGGTACACATAGCATGTATGAACCTGAGTGTATTTGAGAACAGTGGACTGGCATAGCTCGGGAGCGAGGTAGAGAGTAGTCCCCACCACTCCAGTGGCCATGTCTCCTGCTGCAGCCTGCTGCTCCATTGAACTGTGCTGGCCCCCCACCAACATACTGCCCTGCTATATAGACACAGACGTAGCAAAAAGACAAGATAACCGACTGTGCTGGCCCCCCACCAACATACTATATAGACACAGAGGTAGCAAAAAGACAAGACAACCGACTGAAAGAAGCAGATACACATTGCACTGCTTTGCATTCATACACATAACTATTATGTTTCATGCACAAAACGTAAAAAAATTTTAGAGTCTCAAAATTCTTTCCCGAATGATAACATTTTGGTGCGTGTTTTAATGCACACATATGCTCCACAGACTACTAGAGGGGAAATGCAACAGTACATACTTGTACTATAGTCACTATTTTCTATACGTACCTTCCCCATCTGTTTGTAGGAGGTGGCTAGTCCAAAATCTCCAATCTTGATGTGTCCGTATGAGTCCAGGAAGATGTTGCCCGGTTTTAGGTCCCTGTGGATCATACCCTGCAGTACACACAGGGTTAAACTCTTAAACGATGCTTAACTTCTTAGTACATACAGGGTTAAGAATAATGCTTATAAAACTCAAGTCTACTTCATTTCATATTTCATAGAGTCGCACACTTTCATGCCACACCCTCTATTGTCATGCATTACATCATGCGTATGTACATGCATGAGCAAGATTATTGCAGTCAATGGAGTACAAAATCATTAATGCTCACACATGCAGCATGGGAACGGGACAGTGATGATGTGAGTGACATGGGAATGGGACAGACCTTGGAGTGGATGTGTTCCAGACCCTCCACCACCTCTCGGAAGAGTCTCCAGACGTGGTCTGGACTGGAGACCAGGTCCCCGGAGTCTATCAGCTGTCGCAGAGTCTGGTTCTCACAGTACTCCATCTGTGGTCACATGACACTCACCTGACCCAAGTCTCTCTCTCACATGACTACTGAACCAGTCATATAACCACCACATGCGCACATTTGGCAAATTGCATGTACAACAGCCGGACTCAAACATTATGCGTAAAAACTTCCTACATTTCCTCGGCCTCGGATGCTGCATTTTTTGAGAGATTGCCAATGTTATTCTGTGTACATGTAAATAAAGAAAGCCTGCATTCCAAGGAAAAACATTTGCCTCTAATTTGAAGGGTGCCTGAGTCCAGTAAGATTGAATCCTACACATATTTGGCGAGATGAAAAATCATGCATTCACAACACTAGATAGCTCGTTTGCATGTTAACTGTGCCATAAGGTACGATGCCCACCTGAATGTAGAGGTATTCAATAAGTCCAGTCTGACACCTGCTCCGTCTTCTCTTCTCCTCACCACCAGCACCTCCTCCTCCTCGGTGGTTGGAGGAGGAGTGAGGCATGGGAACTGGACGAGAGCCGGACGCCACACTGCTGTCCACAAACACCACTGTGTCTGAGGAATCTGCTGTTGGACTGGAGGGAGGAGAGGGAGGGAGAGGTGAATAGTAGAGAAGATTCTGGTAGATGGATACTTTCAAAAATGGTTGAGATGGGAAATGGGCCAAGAAAAGATGGAGGTCAGAAAGACAAAGAGAACTACAGCTCCTATTGATGTATTAAAGGAATTGAAGTTGTGGGAAAAGTGTTATGCAATTTGGGTTACCCCCTCCAATGCAGTGAAAACTAACTGCCTGGTTCTCGGGAAGATGGTGGCAGATTTCATGACCTCATTCTCCAGATCTCCGATGATGTCATCGCCGTCGTCAGAGAATTCCCCCACAAACACTCCTCCGTTTTCTTCCAATGTGGTGGGCGTGGCTTGGGTCGTGGCTCTGTCTCCTCCCACCTCGTTAGCTACAGGATGGATTTTGATCAGTTGACTGCTGTTGGAGTGCGGAATAATAACATTCAATTTCACTTAATTAACCCTAGAAGATTGCATATCGCAACCTCTTCCTTCACACCTTCGCTACCATGAACGGTTTTGCATTTTTTGCAGAGACGTACGTAAACGAAATGACAAACGGAGCTTCCCTCATATTTGACTATAGCTGAAGGGTGGAATAGCAACACTATCTTGCTTTACCTACGTATACCCCATGAATCTTGCATTTTTTCTTCATTTCCACCCTCCAGACAAGGGTTTTAATGGTTTTGCATTTTTTTGCAGAGACGTACGTAAACGAAATGACAAACGGAGCTTCCCTAATACATTGACTATAGTCGGAGGGTGGAATAGCAACACCATCTCACTTCTACTTCACTGTTCTCTTTCACCCCCCACCCCTTCCCAAAAAGGGTTTGAACGGTTTTGCATTTTTTTGTGGGGATGTACATAAACGAAGTGACAAACGGAGCTTCCCTAATATTTGACTTATAGCTGAAGGGTGGGAATAGCAACACTATCTTGCTTACCTACGTATACCCATGAATCTTGCATTTTTTTCTTCATTTCCACCCTCCAGACAAGGGTTTTAACGGTTTTGCATTTTTTGCAGAGATGTACGTAAACGAAATGACAAACCAAGCTTCCCTAATACATTGACTATAGTCGGAGGGTGGAATAGCAACACCATCTCACTTCTACTTCACTGTTCTCTTTCACCCCCCACCCCTTCCCAAAAAGGGTTTGAACGGTTTTGCATTTTTTTTGTGGGGACGTACGTAAACAAAATGACAAACGGAGCTTCCCTAATATTTGACTATAGCTGAAGGGTGGAATAGCAACACTATCTTGCTTTACCTACGTATACCCATGAATCTTGCATTTTTTCTTCATTTCCACCCTCCAGACAAGGGTTTTAATGGTTTTGCATTTTTTGCAGAGACGTACGTAAACGAAATGACAAACGGAGCTTCCCTAATACTTTGACTATAGTCGGAGGGTGGAATAGCAACACCATCTCACTTCTACTTCACTGTTCTCTTTCACCCCCCACCCCTTCCCAAAAAGGGTTTGAACGGTTTTGCATTTTTTTTGTGGGGAACGTACGTAAACAAAATGACAAACGGAGCTTCCCTAATATTTGACTATAGCTGAAGGGTGGAATAGCAACACTATCTTGCTTTACCTACGTATACCCATGAATCTTGCATTTTTTCTTCATTTCCACCCTCCAGACAAGGGTTTTAACGGTTTTGCATTTTTTGCAGAGACGTACGTAAACGAAATGACAAACCAAGCTTCCCTAATACATTGACTATAGTCGGAGGGTGGAATAGTCTTGCCTTGCCTATTCCTTTCTGCACTCTCTTTTTCCGTCCCTTCACCCATCCTCCTCATCCCTCACAAATCTTTGCGTAAAACTGAGTAAATGACTCACTATTTCCTGAGGAAGAGGCTTCAAACGTGATGAAAGGACTGTCATCACCCTCTGCAGATGATGATGATGATGAGGAGGAGAGGTAGCCACTTGCCTCACTGCTAGACTCCTGACCGTCCGAGTAGGACCCTTCATTCTGTGGTCATCAGAAACACAACGGCAAGTGAAAACATAAGACCGATTTTTTAGCGCTACACTTTCAGAAACCTCCAGAAGGGGAGAAATCTCGTAAAACAGCAAACAATTGCCGGGCAAAACGTGCTTGAAAATGGTCTGTGTGAGACACGTAATTAATCACAAATCTTTCCCCCCACTCTTTCAAGTCACTCAATATGCAAGAATCAAGAATCTAAACTGGGTACACCAGTTAGGGTTAAGTCAGCATACATTTAAGAAAACTCGGCTACACATCGTACTAGTTAGGTAAGTTCTAGTGGACCTTTGAAATGGAGAGCTCGCTCTCTTCTTCTTCCACTTCCTCTCCATCTGCCTCCTCCAGCAGACTGCCACTGGGTAATCCAAAGTCATCTGCTCTGTACGTCTCCATCCAGGCATTGTAGTACCTTCATTTGGGTGAAGGGGTTCACACTATATACACTATGTTGAAGCCCCAAACTCTAAACTACGCACTCATAGCTCATTATATAGATCATAGTACCTCGTTTATTAAAGGAAAAGGGTGCCATTTGTGTATATAGTTTGTGAAATTATCTCTATTTGCATTTCTTAACTCCATCAGTGCTTGACTTTTATATACTGGTTTATACACACATGTATTTGCCTCTTTAAAAACTGTGGTTATAAATAGCAACACGCCACTGCTAAATGTGGCTGATGTAATAGGCTCTATATATAGAGCTCCTCTCCTCACCTGACGACGTTCTCGTGGTTCATCTGAGAGAGAAGCTCCACCTCTCGGGTGATCCGGTCCTTCATTCTGGGGTCGTCTGACAAGTGGATCTTCTTTATGGCGTACACCCTCCCGTCCAGCAGGTGTCGAACCTGCAACGAGATACTTCACGGTGACAGGTGTGATATAAAGTGTAAGTCAATGCTAGGTATGTAGCTCGTCTGTGGAATCCAATTACACATCATCAATGTATGTATAGCTATTACACCATAATGTGTGCATGTGTGAAATGAAGTATTTGCTCTAAATATGTTGGCAGTGGAATCCAAAGTACATATCATAATGTGATCGCCTAGACCGCAGAATGTCGCGGGTTCAAATCCCACTCAGGGCAATTCTTCTTCTTTTCTTCGAAAAGAAATAGCTGTCCTGGGACTAGTTGACTTGTTTGCCTTGCCTTGCCTTTCTACCTCGCTACCAAGTTGTTGAGACATCACTAATAGCTGTAATGGTATACCTTCACGACATCACCGAAGCCGCCACTTCCGACACTCTCCATCTCTTCAAACTCCGCCTCCAGCCGAGAGCAGCCGCGGAGGGAGGGTTTGGCCGGAGAACCCACCAACGAGTCACTCCTGTGGAACTGCATGGAGCTCCGCCGCCGCGACATCGGGTCTGGGAACCAGACACACACACACACACACTCACATAATGTACACTTGGTCCAGGACAAAAACTAGGTTTCCTTTTAAATTTTGTGGTACAAAAAAGCTTACAAAAACTGACATGCAAGGCATTCGTAGGAATACGTGTTCTGAAACTTTGGGTGGTAAAATGCGTTTTAGTGTCAAAATTAGGTTTTACGTATATGGGAGCATAATGGAAAACATGACCAATCTTATGAAGAGGTGGGAATGTACTAACTAAGATGTATACCAATCTTGTTGGTGGGGACGGTGAGGGAGGTGTGGGAGGGAAGAAGAGGTCTGGGGTGGAGGGGGGAGGGGGAGGGGGTGATGAAGGGATGACAGAGGAGCTCGTGGGCCGGGAGACGAAGCAGCTCGTTGGGGTGGAGACACTTGTGCAGGAAATCTCTGAGAGTGTCCGGGATGTCTTCGGGGATGTTGCTCGGGGAGACGTCGAGTTTTCCACGACACAGACAGAGAACTAGCAGCCCCTGTGCATGTGCACTAGACATGAACTTACATATGTACGTATGTATACGCCGAACGATACATTAAACTATGGTTCAGCTTCAGCAGGTTAGCTTTTATCCATTATGGCAACATTAGTATGTATGTACATTTGGTGGGGATGTGGCAGCACTAATAGAACTCGGAAACTTAATTCTTGCACTGTGCTCCATTGTTTAGTTCTATCATTTAGCATATCCCCAACTAACGTCACTGTAATGAGGGCTAGTATGATGGCATACACGCATACATTTGTTTCATCACGTTGTACCAGTTTGAGGATGTCTCCTTTCTTTCCTCTTGCTACAGTAGGCCACGCCCCTCTAGTCGGGTCTTCGTCGGTGGTGGGTGTGGCCAGGGATCCCAGTCTGGACTGCTGTCTCATGTGACGGTACAAGTCACTCATTCTGAGGGACAGAAGGAGGGAGGGAGGGACGGAGGGAGGGAGGGAGGGAGGGAGGGAGGGAGGGCAGGGAAGGGTAAACACGAAATGGAACCATACTGGAACGAACACAAACACGAATGCGAAATTTCAGCAGTTTTACGCATAATTAGAATGACACGGTGCCGTCTACATGCAAACATACAATAGTGCAACTCAGACGTATGTAGGTGGGCTCGCTTCTCTCACCACTCCGGGATTAAATATCAGGGGTTTTTGGTGCAGTAAAGGTATGTAAGGGAGGTCTTCCTAGTGTTAGTTCAGGGAAGCAAGCAATTCATTGGCAGGGAAGCAAAATCCTGCATGTGTACTCTTTTAACCTCTTGATGACAGCGAATCCACCGAGTTTGAGGGTTCCCCCGGCGTCGAGGAAGACGAGAGACGGTCGGATGTCGTTGTGGACCACTCCCTGTGAGTGGAGGTAGCTCACCGCCTCCAGTAACATACGACAGTACCGCCTGAGGGTCTGATGAGAGAGGGAAAGTACAGGAATATGTCGTAGTGTTCAAAATTTGTAAATACAGTACTTTGAATAACACTGATATACTACATGTGAGAAATAAAACCTACAAAACATTAGTGCTTACGTACATATGTAGCACATGTGCAAGGAATCTCAAGGACACTTAGGCTGGGTTCACAATATGGCGCATTGCCCTGTCGCGCCGTGGCGCGTCCTGCCGCAAAGATAGAAATTCACGGTGCGGCAATGTGGCACGGCGCGACGGGCGACATAGTGTGAACCGAGCCTTACACACGCACAAATGTATGAAAACGGCAGCAATAAGATTACTGCATTTCATTTCCTCACTTCCCCAGTGACAGGACCAGCGTCCGGGTTCCTCAATAGGTTGCTAACACTCCCTCCTCCAACATACTCCATCACTACCTGCAGCGCAATGTAATGCAATTGGGGAGCAATAGAGAGTTTGAAAACTCAGTGTACCTGTATTCGGTAGGTAAAGTATATCCTATCGGATGGTTATAAAGAAAAATTCGAGAAAAAATAGGTAAGCTCACTTCACTCACTCACCAATTACTGGGTTGGTAAGATAAAAACTTGAATTTTGGAACTTTACTTTAAAACATTCACTCCTCCCTCTCTCATCCCTCTCACCTCAACAATGATCTTGTTATCACTAAGGTTATGGTGCATTGAGAGGTACTGAACTAGGTTGCCGTGACGCAGACCACGGCCAATATATCCATCCAGCTCCGTCTCCATACTAGACACCTTCATAGATAGGAGGTAAGAGGGGGAGGGAGAGAAGGAGAGGGAGAGAGTAAGAAGGAAGAGAGAGGGAAGAAGAGGAGGAAATCTCAACAGCAAAACTGTGTGGGTTCGAATCCCACTCAGGCCAGCTCTTCTTCTTTTCTTTGAAAAGAAAGAGCTGTCCTGGGTGTAGTTGACTTGTTTGCCTTGCCTTGCCTTTCTACCTCGCTACCAAGTTGTTGAGACATACACACCTGTCTCAGTCTTCGTTGGTCTGCTTTCTTACTGCACGGCAGCTCCCACTCATAGCTGAGCTAGTAGGTCACCTTACATAGTGAGGAGACAAATCATTGACAGAAACCATGTACACATGAGTGCATCGCTGTCTTACCTGACTCTAGGTCCAATCCAACATACACAGTATAACCACCAGTTGAACTTTCACCTGTATAAAAAGGAATAAGAAGGAAAAGCTGCAATGGCCGGGAATTGAACCCAACCCAGCACGAATGCTCCTTGGCAAGCCAGGGTTTAAAACAAAAAAAACTGCGTTGGCCGGAAACGAACCCGGATCTATTGCTTGGAAGGCAACAATGCTAACCATTACACCACCAGCGCTGGCTTGGCTCACTGATGCAGCTAATGTGTGGGACTCCATTCACTAATGCTCACTCCCCTAGCCAACAATGACAGGAACGCCAGACACTACACACACGCACACACACACACACACACACAACCATCAACACATGGTATTACGCAGTATAGTGTGTCTTTGTCAAGGAAGAGGAGGTTTAGACAAACACACTCCTTTCACTGACTATAATTATAATACAATACAACAGCTGTCAGTTTGTAATTCAGCTATATATAACCTGCACTCTAGTATTACAACAGTTTACGCATACAAGCACACAAGGTACATACATGTATGTACATCACAACTTTGCATTGCAAAACATATGCAATGAACGGAAGACCCCATATGAGTATTTTATAAGCAATTCAACAAAAGGGTGTGCACTATGTACTACAATAGGTAGTCAATGGCTTTGATAGACTCAGTGCATTCAGCAATGCCAGAATGCATACGAGTTTGGCCATCATGATCTACCAGCATTCTTATATACACATGTGGACAAGTACAAGTACGTAAGACTTGGAGCTCACCAAGACACTTTCCTCTCTGCATGTGAATCTGTTTCTTCAACCTCGCTCTCCTTCCTCCTTCCACCCCATCGGGCAACTGGCCGGACAGATTACCAGACGGGTCGCCCATCATCAAACGGGACACTGGAGCAACAGTGGATAAGTTGAGTGTGGGGAGGATGGGAGGGTGTGAGGAGGGGGCGGAGGTGGAGAGAAGGGGAGGCAGGTTGTCTCCCGAGTCAGACTCGTCACTGCCACCTAGCGAATGGTGAGACATTCTCTTTCTCAGCTCTTCTTCTTCCTGCTCTTGCTACAGACAGACAGACAGACAGACAGACAGACACATGGTAAACCAGAGAGGTAGTGTGTTCTCTACAGCCTGACATGCAGAGGACGGAGTTCCGAGGAACTAAGAGCAAGATCTGTTTCTGCTGCTCAATGACAAACACCCTCCATACTTTCCCAGTGAAGCTACAATTGTACCCTCTCTTTCTCCTTGAGTCTGCTGGCTTCAATCTCTTCCTGCTGTCTTCTCCTCTCCTCCCTCTCCCTCTCCCTCTCTCTCCTCACCATCTCCTCGTGGAGTGAGAGGTGGGGACGATTGTGGCTGTGCAGATATGCCTGAAGAAAACAACGCACGTACGTAACAGCTGAACATCTTCTGCAACACAGCGTCGTTTATTTTTCTAAATTTACGGGTGTGATATCGGCACCTTTGCATCCGTAATATCTTAATGTGTACTTCATGCATAAAACGCTGAAAATTTGCACTCGTGTCAATAATGTGTTGCATTCGTTCTTGTAGACTTACAAAGCGAGTGAAAGTGAGCACCTGCCTAAGGCAAACCTGAGACTAATAAATTTACTGGGACAAGATTTTGCAAGAGCAAATACTCAGCACCTACATTCGTTCACTCACACATTGTTGTTTCCTTCAAAGCTCGAAAAGTAAAGAAAATGCAATCTTCTCTATGATGTGTAATAAGTACCATAATTATATGTACCTGAATGAGTTGGGCAATCTCCAGCATCATGACCTCCCCGACTCTCTCTCTGGCCAGACTGCGGATCTCTTTCGTCAGTTCCTTCACCTCCTCCTCAGTGAGTCCCTGAGGGTTGTCCAGCTTCAGGTGAGGTGGACTGACAGAGAGAGGAGGGAGGGAGATGGGAGATACTGTATATACAACTAAAAACATTTGTGAAAAAACGTTCGCAACAAAATCACAAAGTATTCTTCTGATACTCAAAACTCTTTGGACGCCATGGGTATCTCCTTAAATCAGCAGACATTTATGTATGAAGTATTAGCGCCTAGTATTATGACCCCATATAAATTCTTATGGACTTATGGAGGCTCTGGACACATTTTGTGTCAATGGATGGTTAAGTGTTAAGCATTGCTTTTGATAAGAGATACTGCACAACTAAAACTATACTGTTGCAGCAGATATTATAAAATCGCGTCAAGTACTATTCATGATACTTTAGTATAGCTTTTACTGTGTGATTTGCAAATGTTTTTAGTTATACAGTTTGGTATTGACAGCTGGGTTGCACGCTACACTGTCTTTGGGACTCTGTTACAGAAAATGCCCCCAACACACAGACCTACCTGTCAGGGTAGTCGGTAGGGTATTTGACGAGGAGTCTGATGGCCACTGGTCTAATGGAGGAAGAAGCTCCCATGCTGACCTGGGGCACCAACAGTAGACCTATCTCTGGAGGCCTCTTCACCTGCAGCACAACAACAGACATTAGGTTCACATTAGCTATTGCAAAGAACTATATACAGTGATAATGGAGGGCATTACTGTGATGTCAGAACACTCGTATTGAGCTGACATGATGTACAGTATGTAGTATTGTAAGAAGTGTGCATTGAGATCGTTGAGACTGCTGGACATAACTCAAGCAGTACATACACTCTATTGTGCACATTCAGTACAAATAAAAACGTTCAATCGTTGTATTGAAGTGATTGGACAGTTAACCCGTTGGACATAGTATCTATGATTGGACATTCATGGCAGTCCACTGCCTGCATACTGACAATGTCATCTGCAGAGTGAAGCCTTTCAGCTCATGTGCTGTGCTTCTACCACACACTACAGCAGTCTACTACAGTTTCACCAGATCAGCAATGTCTTGCATCATGGCACACACACACACACACACACACACACACACACACACACACACACACACACACACACGGTCACACACACACACACACACACACACACACACACGGTCACATTATTCTATGGTCATCAGGGATGATGAAAAACAATTGATTCAGCATTATATGTAGTTCAGTCACATTCATCAATGATGAGCGCTAAAAGAATGCTTAGGTCAAAAGCTAGTCCAGTCAAAGCTGGCTACCCTGATCGCTCCCAGTCGTTCTCTGATCAAATTCTCGTTACTCGTGTTGATGAGAGGGGCAACTCACGTCCCAAGGGTCGGTCTTTCTCATGTCCTGAAAGCCCTCGGGGAACACCTCCTGCAGGAACTCCACCTCGTCCTCCTGCCGCTCCTGGTACATCTCGTCGTACCCTCCACCTCCCTCCATCACCAGTTTGTAACCACTAACACAGCGAACAAAGCCGCGAGCGCAGCTTGCTCACAGCTGCACTCCGACCTTAATTTTTGACGTCAACAAAACAGTAACGCGAACAAACTGCGCATGCGCCGAATGCCGGGCCGCGTGTGTGCGTTCACTCGGTGTGGTGGGTAAAATTGAGGCAAAATGATCAAAAATTATATATATATTATGCATCTGTATAATGGCATAATAAATGAATATTAGTCTGATATAATTATAAATCACTGAAAATTGAATAGCAAGGAACCGGCAGTATTGTCGTAACAGAGAATGAGTGACACACAGCTACAGAGCCACAGCTCTGAGCAACTGAAATGGGTTAAGTGGGAGAGGAGTTAATTATAGGGCGGAGTTTGCTGAGGATGAGGGGACGGAGGGAAGATTTGAGGTTGTCAACTTGGAAGAGGAGGAGCCGAGCTGGTCCCTGACCTGTACCTGTGTCTTGCACTCCTCGAGAGCTTTCTTACACTTGAGGAGAGTTTGGAGAGGGACTCTGGGGAATGGTGGTGGAGAGGGAGGAGACAGGGATCACAAGAGATGGAAACTCTTCTCTTTTAGGTCTAAGTAAACATGTAGGTGATTGCAATGGTGGTAGAACAAAGGATTGACACGCCCAAGCTTCGGATACAATATACAGCACAACAAGGCAGGCTGCATTCACATGCAGGGCTAATGCTTGGGGACACCAAATTTGGAACTTAATTCAGAGGTTTCCGGGGCAGAACCAAGTATCCCTTAAAAAGATATGTCCTTTGATGGATGGTATTATCAGAGGAGTCACTATGTATTGTCATCATAGAGAGAGGAACTGACAATATGAGAGAGGTAGGGAGAGAGAGAGAAGTACTGTCATCATAGAGAGAGGAACTGACAATATGAGAGAGGTAGGGAGAGAGAGAGAGAGAGAGAAGTACTGTCATCATAGAGAGAGGAACTGACAATATGAGAGAGGTAGGAGAGAGAGAGAGAGAGAGAGAGAGAGAGAGAGATACCCGCTTCTGAAATCCTGTAAAACATATTCGAGACTCTTGAGTTTCGAGTACTGCTGTGACTTGACCCCTTCCTTCTTCTTCCGAATGTGGCTCATCATGTGGGAGACGAGGGGCAGGTAGGCCTGGAGCTCTCGGTGGGTTCGAAGGTACACCGCCTCCTCGTTTTCGGACGACCGAAGTGGGTGGGGCATGGGCGGGGCAAGACCACTGCAGTCGGCAGAGGCAGAGGGAGGGTTCGGAAGGTGTGCTGGAGAATTCTCCGGTTGAGACTGCAGTGGTGAAACGTTATTGTACATACATACACATGTAAACACTAGAAAATCATGGGAACATTTTCATGCGAGTTCTCTATTCACTCATGAATTGAAATGGCACGATCTTAAAAAATCATGATCACTTTCTGGGAGTCACTTTGAGCCAAAACCGCACGAATATAACCCTGCATTATATTATACAAATCACCTTCAAGGGAGGAGCATGTGCATACTGAACTAACGGTAGTGTGTTTATATACAAGCAGTATCAAACTGACTGGATTGAGGGAGCTTCTTTTCCACCTGATGAATGTTCTTTAGAGACAAAATATTCATGAGGTATATACAGCCACCGTCAATGGAAAATCTCACCTTTCAGACATGATGTCTCAGATGAGTCTGATGCCAAACTTTAGTCCACATTCTCCCCACTATACAAGTACACAATAATTACCCTCGGCGCGCTTGCGCAGCGAGGGTACTGTTTGTCTGTCTGTTACTCTCAATCTCACTTCTTGGGTGTCTGTTCGTCCCAGAAACGATACCATCTACCCAACGGGCGACGAGGGTCAGAAAGTATGTGGGGTTTTCTCTGAAAATGATCCGTTGCAGAGCTAGAGCGCTTCCAGCATTGTATGCCGGTAGTCGCCATTTTATCGCTGGCGGATAATGCGCATGCGCTTATTTTTTTGCACTAAACATCCACGGGTAATACGATTAATAGAGAGATTTGTGGCCCCCAAACAGATTTAGGGCTGGCCTTTTTTTCCACCACATGCTGTTCTTTTTTATGCATGGTCAAGACTCATCAATTGTGGTGGTGCCACACTCGTGTATGGGTTCCACATTTCTATAGAGTGTGCCGAGGGTTTGCACTTTAGTGCTTTTCGTTCAGTTCAGTTTAAGTCCTCAAACCTAATATCTTGTACAATATGCATGATCCATTTTAAAAAGGTTATCAGGTTCATAATTTTGTTGTAGAAAGCAGAAGCATGCATTCAAATTTCCACGACAGTGGCCCCCCAATTGTCCCACTAGTATTTACGCCTGCAGACAGTACGAAGTCAGATAATCTCATCACCTGCACTGGTGTGGTAGGTACTCAGATCAATTTTGATGGAGGGAAACGATCTTTCCCGTTTCTCAAGCCACAGTAGACCTGAGGGAAGTGAGAGAGAGATCTCTATCCGTCCACTGTGGTACCCACAGAGCACTAAACTGACAGAGTCTCTGAAGCTGTAGAGAGTGACCATCGGGGAGGTCGTCGATGCTGTAGACTTGCGAGCAACGTCTTGTGTCCTGACACAGACGGAAGATAATATGCTCACGTCACCTTTGCACTCAAGGCTACTACTGCAACTCTTTACAATACTTGAAGATAAAACTCGACACCACACCGTAGCTTAAACAGGACCTACACAGACTGCTCTGCGGCTCTCGATGTGTTCATAATTGTGGGAGAATAAATAATATGACACACCAGATAGAGATGATAGAGTGGTACCCTAATATGATTCTCATCGTTGTGAAATATGGAACATCTGAAAGAGTACTTACTCAAGCCAATCCCAGCAAGCAGATACTCAGAGATGAATTGGTAAAATGTGTGTATGCCTACCCTGGCGTCGAACACATCTGATGAGGCGATCAAAAACACGACGTAATCAGCCGATTGCCATTGGACACCGTCCCACTGATGGCGCGTCGTGACCTTTCACACGTCCACATGGCACCATGTCTACACACACACACACACACAGTATATAGTTGTGGATACTGTACGTAGATCTGAACAGTGCCCTGAGTGTCGAAAATGTTGCAGGGTTGTGTCGGCTGCTGCTGATCCGCAGTAGAGTAAGGCACTTCAAACCTATATTATAACACTCTTAGAAGCTGCATAATAATTATGTCAAACGAAATGTGGCTTACGAAAACTATGCGTGAGAAAACAAAAAATAGAACGATACTAATTATGTACACATAAATACTAGAGTAGAAGAAAACCACAAACAACAAAAAAAGAGAAAGTAATTGTAGCAGTAATGTTAACATACCTGCATGCAGAGGACCATGTCAGAGAAAGATGAGATCTGATGAATTCTGGCGAGAATGGAGCCTCCTCCGCACCCTCCCACGTAGTGCGATATGTCCCAACAGCTTATCTTGTTGTCGTAACTTGCTGCAGTAACCAAACAGGTTAGTTGATCACTAAGTATGGTAGTACTTAGTATATAGGGATGGGCATGGTATGCAGTTGAAGTCTCCATCAGCCAGCAGTGGTTTTTATCAGCCGCCATTTTGTTAGTGTGTCTTTGTCGGGCAAACTCCAAAATGAGACTCGCCCCCTTTTACATAAACATGAAAACTGCATGTTTAATACCTTGGGATAGGGCAGTGTTACGAATATCGGATCAACTAACAAACCTACATGTAGTATATAGCTCTTAGTTCACTATCTAATTTCTATTGATCACGAGACTGTTAGGAAAACTTTGAGTTTGCAGCAGATTGTAGGTGAGGTAACTTCATACGGTATGGTGACATAAGACACCTCGTATATATTGCATAGATCGAATGTCTCGTAGCTCACCAGTCAGGAGTCTGTTGTTATGGATAGCGAGGCAGCTGATGTCCTTCCTGACAGGATCATCTCCCACCAGCCATCTGCCCAAGGCACTCTTGGTCTGACACAGGGAGAGAAGAAGGATTACTACCACATGGTGTGGTGTACAGAGGCATACATAGAGGTACATCATCCGTGAAATAAGTGCAGTGTTATGCTGCAATTCTGTTCGATCTATTTATGAGTTGAAGTTTAGTTTTATCAGCACATCTTAGTATCTAATGCCATACATACAGAGTAGAGGTGTATGTAATAAAATAGAGGGGAAATTATTGACAGTGTGTGAGTCAAGCAGAGCGACGGAAGCTGACCTGTAGGTCAATGAGGTGAATGAATCCGTTGCTGAGTCCAGCCACCAACAGACTGCCCTGAGTCACCATACACTGGATGCGGGCACCCAGACTGAAGTCTATCTCCACCACTCCAGTCTGCAACGGTGGAATACCACATCCCTCGTGAACATCATACAGCATCCCTCGTGAACATCATACAGCATCCCTCGTGAACGTCATACAGCAGGAAACATTGAACGGAGAAAACTTTACATTTCCACAGCAAATGCGGCTTCACGAAGTAAACTTTTGCACCTTAGAGAATTTTTTGGAGAAAGCTACACTGTATCAGTAATACGGTCTGTTTCAGAAGAAATTCCAAGGAGGATGCTATCGCGGATTGCAATAGAAATTTCCCTGTTCACAAAATATCACTGAGAAAACTTTTGCAGGTAAGCAAAATACACGGAAATTTTTTTCTCCTTCTTATGAACTGTCATACGCCTTATACATACACATGTACCTTGGCGTGGTACATGATGATGTGCTTGTCGGTGGAGCCTGATATGATGTAATCCTCTTGACAACAGGTGAAAATCTGCACATACGTAAATACACTATTAGAGAGAAAGAACTAGATGTTGTCCAAAAGGTGTGGAAAATAATGTCAAACGAGTTGAATTTAAAGGGGTTCTATGGTAAAACTAAAAATGGATATTTAGCTGAACACTCACCTCGATGCATGTGATGGATCGTTTGTGAGTCTTGAACTCCTTCTCTTGGCGAGTCTTCTACGGAGCACAAAGCCAAGAGTTACACACACTACCTCGAATGAGGACACCCCTCGTGATTCACATACCTCCATGTTGTAGACTCTGACTGACTTGTCAGACGAACAGGAGTAGAGATAACCTCCAGAAACCTGAGAACAAAATATTAAAACGCGAGAGAAGATTCTTTGACGAAAACCGCTATGCGTGTTTTGAAGCAACTCTAACAAAATGTACAGTAATACTGTATTTTCCCTGCTCTAAAAGAAGTTTACAGCGCAGTTTTGTCTGTCTGTCTGCCTACCTTGACGCAGAGCACAGGCTTCTGATGAGGGTTGTACACCGTTGTGAGTCCGTCGTCGTCACTTTCTTTGTCCTCCATCCGCTCCTCCTCCCCGCCCCCACCACCAACAGATGTCGCTGTCACCTCCACAGCTTCACCCTCCCCTTTTCCACTTGTCACACCCTCTCCCTCCTCCTCCTCCTCTTCCCACACCTCTAGCGGTAGATCACTTGAAGCACCATGTGAAGTATCTCCAGTAGATAGGAGAGCCTGGGCAGCCATCCAGGCCTGTCTGATAACATCTCCCTCACTATCGCTGGCTCCGGTTCCTCCATCAGTACTCAGAAAACCCTCCAAATCATCATCACTGTCCTGACCATCACACTCTGCAATCTCCTGCTTCACCACCACACCTCGGATCTTTCCTTCACCGTCTACAGTAGCAGGTCTAGCAGAAAATTCAATCTTCCGTCTATCATCCACAGTAGCCCCATTAGTAACAGTGTCTGTTGTGGCAGCAACCATTTGTTTGCCATCCTGAGTAACAACATTAGTACGTCTATCATCCACAGTAGCAGTATTAGTAGCAGTGTCTATCTTAGTAGCATCAGCACCAATCTTAGTATCAATCTTTTGTCTATCGTCCACAGTGGCGGCATTAGCAGCTGTGTCTAGAGAGAGAGAGGCGCAAGCACTATTTGAAGGAGCTACAGATGATTGCTGTTTCGAAGCTGTTGACAGAAGAGGCTGTGAGTCTGGATCACACCCAGGGAACAGAATTGAATCAATTTCAGCAGCCATCTGCGAACTACCTACACTCTTAGTGTTGGCCTCTTTACTATCGCCTTCTGCTGACGGTGAGATAGCATTTCTGTTTGTGTTTGGACCGGGCTGAGGTGGCAAAGAGAAAGATCGTTCTTGGGGGTGAGTGGAGTCAGTTTCGTTCTCTCAGGGTTCAAAGTCGATACTGAAGAGTTGAATTGAGAAGAAGGGAGAGATATGTGTGGAGAGGAGGGTATAGTTTGGTGTTAGGCAGAGTGGTCTAGAGGGAGAGATATGTGGTGAGGAGGAGGGTATAGTTTGGTGTAGGCAGAGTGGTTCTAGAGGGGAGAGTATGTGGTGAGGAGGAGGGTTATAGTTTGGTGTAGGCCGAGTGGTCTAGAGGGAGACTGGGTACAGAGCTGGTCACATATCCTATGGATCAGCAGCCATTGGTTGCGGCTCCATGTGAGGCAAGCCACTCTCTACTTCCATCCGTTTCTTGCTCAGTCTGTTTCTCTACCTCCATCTGTTTCTCTGCCTCCATCTGTTTCTCTGCCTCCATCTGTTTCTTACCTCCATCTGTTTCTTACCTCCATATGTTTCTCTAACTCCATCTGTTTCTCTACCTCCATCTGTTTCTCTACCTCCATCTGTTTCTCTGCCTCCATCTGTCTTCTCACGTCTTCATACATTTCTCTGCTTTCATCTGTTCATTACTTGCTCTGTAAGAGTCAACTGACTTGCTGGAGTCTGGGACAGCATTGCTTGTTGATACCAGTGGCAATATGCCCTCTATCATCATCGACTGCTGACTTGGAGCTTGGACAAAGGAAATTTGAATTAGTACTGACTGACACAACCATGAAATACGTGTTAGTTTGAAACTCCAAGGAGAAAACCTTTAGGATTTGGTAGGACTTATATAACCCTAAAAATTTGCCCTTTCCCTTTCACTATTATATAGGTGTAGAACTCTAGCAAAAGGCTACCGAAGGAGGGAGGGGAATATTCCAGGAGGACCTGAGCAAGTCCTGCTTCTTTCTCTGCACCTCTGATACTCTGTCTTTCAGCTACGTATATACAACAAATACACACAGTGATCCTCTATAATAACGAGACCTCCACGACAAAATCTTTTGCAAATCTCTCTCAAAGGTTTTCAAGGAAAAAGGTTTGCGACTGCGGTTGGTTGACGAGTGTGTGGCACTTAACCAACACAAGAAGAAACGACATACACGATTGCATAAAAACCTGCAAATTGCGAACATTTTTGTCGTGGAAGTTTTGTTATATAGTGGCCCAACCATTGAAAACTTGTTCTGAGCAGCTCTGAGCTTCTTAGACCTGGCCTCCTCCAATCTCTTCTCCTCCTTACTCCTTTTGATGCTCACCTCCTCCAGCAACTGGCTTCCTTGCAACAACTTCATTTGCTGTACAATTATCATCGATGCAATACTTTAGCACAGAATAAGAAAGAACGAAAACCAACAATCACAATTCTTCCCCTCCCATACAACACAGTGTAGAGCGATGCTCCTACGATTGTATTCTAGCATTATTGGATACGTATGCCAGAATAAAGACACACATACGCATATGGGTCACAAGATTCTAGAAAGTTGAGGTCCGAAACACTAACCATGTTCTGCTCCTTTTCCGATAAGTCCTTCATCTTTGCAAAGAAGTTTGGCTTCGTCGCAGTCATTGGTGCTGAACCCTACGAACGGTGAACAAAACAGTCATGCTGTGAGGTATTACAAGGAACGTAAAGAGAGAGGTTGTGTCTTATCACTAACAGACTCTTTGCAAAACAGTACAAAACACACTGTGTGGTAAGCAACTATTACTCGTGTTTATCACTAACAGACTCTTCGGAAGGCGAGGTAAAGAGGTTCTGCTTCTCAACCAGGACGCTTCTGGTACTGATCTGTCACTGTAGAAGGAGAAGGTTCCATATGCAGGTCATCCTCTAGCACTAACATCTACAACTAGAACATCTACAACTAGAATTAGGCAGGTCATCTCTAGCACTAACATCTACAACTAGAACGAGAGTCGCACATTTTTGGCAAGCGAGCGCTAACAGTCACATTTTTCATGCACATTTAGAATCACTGCCGCCACCCCGAGGCCTTTATGCCATTATACCTCAGTTCTCTCCAGAGTAAGTGCTCTCTGCTGGCGGGTCAGTTCCACCAGATGACTCTCAATCTCTTGCACAATCCGAGCCATGGCCTCTACCTGGCTCTGGGCCTCCATCAACTTCTCCTGCTATATACAGACAGACAGAGATAAGGAGAGATGAACCAAAACCACCAAAGCAAAGGTCTACGAACGCAAGCAGAAATGGAAAATTCCCTAGTTTCACAAACCCAAGTGTGTGCATAAGTTTCAGAGCTCAACGGGGCGTGTGTTGTAATCTGTGAGTATATATACATAAATATGTATGGGCTCAATTCATAAAATGTTAATAGAAACGGAAATTGCTTTTTTTTACAGGGCCCTACTGTTTTGTTCCATACTCAGCCCTTATGTAATGCAACATTCCCTTTAAGCATATATACTGATGAGGTTCAGCTATATATACCAGTTCTCTGTCCCTCTTGTCCAGAGTTGCAATGTTGAGGCAAACTTGCGGTGAGGAGTCATTAGTGAAGGGTCTCCCTCTTGAGACGAGCTGTGCTGGGAGGAGCTCACCGACATGTTCTCTGTCTCTGACTCTCTCCCCACACCTCCCCCTCCCCCTCCCCCAACACCAGAACTGCCCTGTAGGCATGTATTAGGATCTATCATTTCACAAATGCAGGACCTACCCGAGAACACCTTGCTACATAAAGCACTCATTACATCACGGTTTACTATTTATTATTTCTTCTAACCCTGATTTACACGCAGAACCAAATCACAACCCACACATTGCACAAACCAGAAGTTCTAACAACTACTTAGTCCGCTTTACGATAGCAAACAATAACTGACCATGGCTGGCTCCAGACTTGAAGGCTGGACAGAGGTAGAGTGTTCTACACACTCTCTCTTGCTCGACTCACTCGTCTCCAACCTCAGCTTCTTCGCTCCCTCCCTGTCATCATGAGCAGACTTTCTTCGTTTCTTTCTCTGAGAACTACCACCTCCTCTCAATGGACTACCTGAAGAGAACCCGTCATTTTCCTCAAACTTTCTGTCTGTCAATCCAGCATCACTGGCGACGATTCTCTTCGACTTTAGAGAGTTGATGATTACATCGAGTCTCGGCGAAGAGCTTCTACTCTTTGGCCCTCTATCGGGTGTCTTATGACTGGCTAGTTCAGTAGCCCTATGGCTCACTGGTTCATCAGACTTATGGCTCGATGGTTCATGGGCCCCATGTATAGCTGGCTGGAGAGGTGTAATGTCCACTTGAGGCACAGTAGCAGTGTTTGCTGGGGCTCCACTGACTCCTTCCCCATCTACTGCTTTAGTTGACGAGCCTATTCTCAGAGTAGGGCAGTTAAGTTTCAGGCATTTTGGTGGGGTGAACAGAAGTGGTGGCTCTCTGCTTGTTTTGAACGTGGCACAAGCAACAGGGGGGTCTCTTTTGCGACTGTGTGGGCCTTCTGACACAGCAGTGGAGTGTGATTGTCTTTTCTCAGAAAAAAGTGGGCCTACTGGCAAAGAATCGGATCCTGGTGGTATTTCGAACGTATTGTAATCTGATGGTCTTTTCAAGTTTGGTCCTTTTGGTAAGCTATCTGATGGTCTCTTTTCTAAAGAGAAGTGGGCCCTTGGAACCTGATGGTCTTTTTTCAGAGGTTAGTGGACCCTTTGGCAAACCATTGGAATCTGATGGTATCTTGTCAGAGGGAAGTGGACCTTTCGGTAAGGGACTAGAATCTAACACCCTCTCCCCAGTGGAAAGTGCGTTGTTTTGTAAGGCGTCGCAATTTGATGGTCCAATATCACTGTTCGGTGGTGCAGATGCAGCACATGCTTGAACTGGCTCATTTCGGGTCCTCGTTTCGTTTTCCCCCTTGTTTTGTTGGGGCTGGTTTCCACAAGTTGTTGCTGAAGTAGAGGGCCCAGGTGGCGGCGGCTCTTCAAGACCTTCCTGGGTCGGAAGTGGCAGAGTATGAGTTTTAGGTTTGCCAGCAGCTGGTGTTGAGTTGTCAGAAGTGCCAGATTGTGGAATCTGGCCCAGATCCATCAGCCTCATCTTTGAGACTTCGAAATCAATCTTCTCCTGGAGTTTCAGGAACACATCCGACATCAGGGCAAAAACTGGTTCACCCTCCACAGAGTCCAGAGAAGGCTCTGGACTGGTTAGTGTTGGAGTCACTGGCTCACACTTCACAGAAGCATGAGATTGCTTTGGAATAGGAGGGGCAACCTCTGTTGATGAAGAGGTTGAACGTGGTCTTTTCTGGCCACCTGATACTGCAGGACCACTAGAGTCCTCAGCTGGGAGTGAGGAACTGCGAGGACGCATACTGTGAGGTCCTCTATATCCATCAGATGATATTCTGCTAATAGGCAGGGTTCTCCCACTGCCTTCAGCTGGAGCCGGTTGGGTTGTTGCTTGCACCCCACACTTTGTTTTGCTGTTTGCACGAACCCCAGATTTTTGTTGGGTAGTTGCTGCATCACGTTGTGTCGATCTTGCTCTATTAATTATTGCAGAGCCATTAGTTTGAGAACTTGGTACTGCAGAGCCATTACCTGCACCTGTTCTATGAGAATTTGGTACTGTAGACACATTTTGAGAAGTGATTCTATTACCTGAAGGTGCTGATGGCAAGGCCGGGGGTTCTGGTTGCATGCCACCACCCACTTTCTTGCCCAGCTCCTTCTGGTGCTCCGTCATCATTTCGACACTCTGGTTCTCTGCCCGACCCTCTATCTCAATCACGTCTCCAAATAGCAGGGATCCACCCTTTACCCGACTCGGAGGTAGTCTCAGTACAAACCCAGGCTTCTCTGAATCCTCAGCCCATGAGGCCTCACTTACATCTCCAGCAGCAGAACAATTCCCGAGTGCAGCCTTGTGAGGTGGAGGTTTGGTACGGTTGAGAGATTTAGACAGGGGTATTGCAGCAAAAGGCCTACTTTTCGACTGAGTGTCCCTCACAGGTGGTTCACCAGAAGATGATTTGCTGACCTCCGTAGGTTGTTGGAGAGGTTTGAACGATCCAGGAGGCGGAGAAGTTAATGGCCTACCTCTCGGCTGTGTTTCCTTCACATGCGGCACACTTGAAGACAATTTCCTTTGCTCACAAACTTGAGACGGTTGTGGTTGTTGGGCAGGTTTGAAAGATCTTGGGAAAATGGGTGACCATCTTGTAGACTCTGTCGTGCAAGGCCCACTTTTTGGCTCCATGGGTGGTTCGGTAGAGGAAGATTTCCTGGGCTCACGAGGTTGTTGCACAGGCCTGGAGGATTTGGAGTGAGGAGTAGGCAGCGTTCTTGCAAACTCTGTCAAAGAATCTCTGATATTTGACACAGGGTCGTTAGAACCGAATACACTAGGTCTCTGGGCAATCTTACCACTCGGTGGAAAGTTCGTATGATGTTGTTCGGTGACCGTAGAGCTACAAGGCGCAGGCTGGGACACCTCCATTGGCTCCACACTAACCATTGACCTTCCAGACTGACATCTCGGTGGTTTCTTTGTCTTCTCCGGTGGAATAAACTTTGGTGAAGTGTCTCGAATGACAATTCCCTGGTTCTTGCCCCGAGCTTCTTTACTAAACACACCTTTCTGCTGTTTTTTTTTAGTCCCTTGTGGTTTTTTGCCCGTTAGACCTAGGCCACTGTTACTTGAGGTAATTGAGTCAGATTCTTGAGATGCAGGCTTATTCTTCTTTTTCCTCTTTTTCTTCTTTTTTGGCAAGCTACCGACAGCTATATTTTGCACAGCAGTGTTGATAGAGGAGGAATTTGCATTGGTGCCCCCTGTAGAACAAGATGGAGCTGGTTTTGGTAAAATCAGGGGGTAGTCCCAGGTAATTGACGGAGACAGCCTCGCATTCTGAAGTCTCTTGGCAATGTGTGAGAGCTTTGGGATCCTCATAGGTGGAAGCTTCACGCCGTATCTTGTCTCAGTCTGTTCCTTGGTGGACGCCGACAGAGCCGAACTCTCCTGAACTCCGCTAGCTTTCTCTTTGTTGTTTAGTTCACTACTTGCCTTTGGAGGAGATCCGGGTATAGATACAGCGACTCCTCCAATATAACCCAATGGTGTAGGTAGAGGTGGAGTAGGCTGAGGCAGTGGTTTTGAAATTGCACTAGGCTGTTGCGAAGGTGGTAGTGGTGTGGATTTCAACGCTACAGGTTGTGGTGGAAGAGGAGGTGGCCTCGGAGACTGTTGCGTGGTAGTAGAGGTGTTTGACAATAAGGGAGCTATAGGGTGTGGCTTTGGTGGTTCTGTGGAGGGCCTGGAACTTTGTGTAGCCGGTGGCTTAGAAGGCTGTGGAACTGCAGAAGATTGTGTAGCTGTAGGTGGTGACTTTGCAGGTTGAGAAACAGTCGAGGCCCTAGAACACTGTGCAACTGCAGAGGGCCTGGAAGCTTGTATAGCTGTAGGTGGTGGCTTTGAGGATTGTGGACGTGGAAGAGTACCCTGAGAGGGCGAGGGAAGAGGGAGTTTTACACCTACCGAGGTGGCTTGGTGTTTTGAAGGAATGGGAACTTTTGGGGCAATCGTCTGAGTGGCAACAGAGGTAGGGTTTATAGCAGAGCCAGAGGTTTTGGTTTGTTTACTGCAACTCTGCGCTGAGGGAAGAGCGGGTGGTCGTACTTGTGCAGCTGAAACTGCCGGCTTTACAACAGGAGTTTGAGCACTGGAGATCCCAGTAGTAGACGATGATGCACCTTGTGGTTGTGTGGTGGGAGTTGAGACTCTAGAAGGGGGTAGATTGGGACGGATAGATGTCGGGGAACCATTGCGTGGGGGGAATAGGGGTCTAGGGGGAAAGCAGGAAAGCCACCCTGCTAAGAGCGGTTGTTTGGGACATCGGTGGTGGGTAGGGGGACAGGCCAGGGGGGCACAGAGCTCTAGGGGGTCTGGTGAAATATCTTGTCGGAGGTGGTTGGCTCCTGGACTGAAACGGGGGAGCAGGCCGGGCACGGGCAGGAACTAGTGGAGTTTGAGAATGTCTCTGTGTTTGAGTGATTCCTCCAGTCAAAGATCCTTCTCTCAGTTTGGAAGAGGCAGTGCTGGTTCCGACACTAGTGGTCGTGTCAGCCACTGACAGAGTTTCCTTAAACTTCCCTCCAGAAGCACTCGGCTGCTGTTTCTTGCCACTTTCTGCATAGCTAAGCACACAAGAGAGACATATCACTTGCCACACACGCACACACAAGTCCACACAACCACTGAATTTATACCCAGCGGTAGAGCCAAGCAGTTGAATGTATACAGCTAGTGTTCTAAGAGCCATGTGTCTGTGCTTGTGCCCACAACTGTATCAGTGCATGTTTAATACATGACAATGGTGGAGCCAATCTACGTAGTATAGGAATACTGTATATACATCAACTGGTACCTGGACTGTGAAAACCCCAAGTTGGAGCGGTGTTCCCATGTCAAGTTATGCTTGAACACATCCTGTCGGTGCATATAATATACAAAGTCGTCAACAGAGACAAAATAATAGTGTAAACCACCTCACCGCCTTATTGAGTCCAGGGAATATCTTCCTGCAAACCTCGCAGAATATCATCTGTCCTGCCGACATTTTTCCTCTCTATTGCAGCAGCGATTCTAGAGCTCGTCCCTCCAGACTCAGTTGCATCACGCCACCTTTGACCTTTGCTAGCGCGGGGTGCGCATTAATTGGGAAGCATCCGCGCAACGAACAGGTCTGGCCGAGCTGCAATGTCTCTAGCAAAGGGGATCAAGGTCCAGCCCTCCAGATTCTCCGCTCTAAACATCGACTCGGACTCTGATAGCGAAGTGAGCGGAGTGGAGTGGCTGGAGGTGGTCGGAAAGGGCTCCAAGTCAAAGGGAAAAGACGGAGCGGCGCAAGCACAGCATAGAGAGGCGGTAAGTGGAAATCGCCCGCTCTCCAAGAGTGCTAAGAAGCGGGCGAGGAAGAAGAGAAACCAGCAGTCAGAGGTTAGCGTCACGTGACTAACACCGTAGATCACGTGAGAGATGTAGCTCTCTTCAGTCAAAAGGTGCAGGAGGTGAGGAGCAGGATGGCGTAGAGAGAGGTGAGGGTCTCGGGAGCGAAGATCAGGCACGGCAGGAGAGAGATGGTGTAGCTGCAGACTTAGAGTTTCAGAGAGAGCTCGAGGTATGGAATTTCCCTGCATACATTATGAGTGTGTGATGGTTTTCATGGTTGGTTGGCACAGGAGGCAATTTTGCAGAGCAAGATATCTGCCGAGAAAGAACAGGAGGTTTGAATGCAATTTTAAAAGTCTTCTCCCTTGAAAACTGTTTTTCGTTTTTTAGATCGAGAGACAGAGAAAGGCAGCGTTTGCTCTGAAGAAACAGTCAAAGAAGGGAGTGAAGATGTCATTGCAGTCTCTCCACAGAGGAGGTAAGATATTGTGAGGGGTACCATATACTTTTGAACTTGGGGATAATTCCCCAGATTTTATGTAGTGATCGCATGTTATATCTTAATAATTTTGGTGGATTTGGCGATTTTAAGATGTGACAACCAAATATTGCGGTATATCTCCAAAAAGCCTTCTCTATTATATGCGAGTGTGGTCTGTTGGTGTGATGCCACTGTTGTCTTTCTGTTTTAGATCTCATCTCAGACTCTGAAAATCTTAAAAGCCCTCAGGTATAGCACGTATATGTACGTATAAGCCTACAGTTGTTATGGACTGGAACACTGAACACTCATAAAATTTGTGTTGTACATGTTTGCTTGCTTGTATCTGTGATACAGAATAAAGGTGAAATACATGGTATTATAGGGAATGCAGTGGCAGTGTATACGTAAGTGCTGAATTGTTACTAAAAATAGATCTTAACAATAGGGCCCAGTGCCAAAATGCAGTTTCGTTTCTATTTTCAGTAACATTCTAAATTTAGCCCATACACATAATTATACTGCCGCATTCCCTTCAATGTTCCTGTGTTTCTGTAGGTTTCAGAGACGGTGAACGATGACTCGGCATTTTTCGAGCGTCTTGGTCAGGACGTGGAGCTGGAGATGAAGAAGCAGCCGGAGAGACGAGTCAGCGAGTCACTAATGGTGAGTCAGAGCTCGTTACAATCGCCCCCTGGTAACGAAGGGGCTGACATGGTTCATATTGTTGATGACATCACCCAGTCTCCCGGTTGAGGAGTCGGCGAGAGTGGCTCACGCGATGGACGAACTGGAGAAGAGAGACAAGACCATTGTTAGTCTCAGAACAGAGAACAAAGCTCTCATGGTACGTGCAGTGCACTAGTCTGTCGTACGGGCCTATGTACCGATATTCCAGGGGGGGGTGGGGGGGGATCCTGACAATCATGAGTTATTTCCCCTGGATACTTAATCGGCTGCCCGGCAAGACTAGTATTGTGTGTGTGTGTGTGTGTGTGTGTCTAAACAGATTCATGTCTTGGGCTAGGATCAAATGAAGGAGGTGAAAGGCCGAAACCAGAAACTATGCAAGATATTAGGACAGGGAGAGTGTGAGTTAATTGGCTAATAATAGCTTTTCCTAGTAATCTGTCTCACTTTCTCCTTAGTTTCAACCAAGACACAGTTACTGGAGCAGATTGAAGAGCTTACAACCGTCAAGAATGAACTGACAGCAGAGGCAAGGCAACAGAAATAGCGCTCTCGTAGACTCTGCTGCTAACATGAAGCTTTTCCCTACAGGTGGAGCGTCTTCATTCACTGTTGGAACAGGAGAGATCTAGAAACAAGTTACTACAAGCAGAGCTCACGAAACACAACTCAAAGGCCGGGAAACCACGCCATAACTAGTATATACACCTCACTGCATTCACATTTTGTTGTCATGCTATATATACCTTTTTACGTATGAATCACTGACCTAAATACATGTCTCATAGTTGAGGTGCAGGTTGTGCTCGACTTTAGTGGCGAGATCAGCCAGTTCTGCAGCCCCCAGTGCACCCAACAGTGTCTCCCACTGAACCGGCCTCTTTCCAGCTCCCTGTACCCAGCATTGCAGAATCTCTTGGCCGATTTCAGTCACGTCCCTCTGTGGGTTTGCGGTCATTATGGTGTCCGTGTGGTCTCCTAGGAGGTAGTGCCCCAATCTTTGGTAGCTGTCCCCCACTTCCCGTGCTATGTTAATGACCCTGCCATCCCCCACTCTGAAATTAAGCAGCTTTGCCATGGTCACTGCACTTCCTGCAGACAACAACAGTGAAAACCAATCACTGCTTTTGTAGGAGTAGAGGTGTATACAGTATCAATGCTTGGGAATCAATGGAGCATAATTTATCCACATACCAGTGTATTTTGGGACAATATCAGGCTCGTGAGCGTGAACTTTCGCCAAAGCTGCTGCAGATGTGTCTTGACAAAGGTAGCTGGTTCGAATGCGGATTTCGAATGCAGAGGATTCACACACCTTTATTGCATTGTGTGAGAGAGAAATTGAACACGTAGACCATCCCACGATCAAACGGTACTAATGGCGGCGCTCTTGAACATGACAGTACTTTCCCTTCCGTTGTCTTTGTCTCTTGTGAGCGAATTTCCCATGTCAGACTGTAGGTATCAGTAGAGAGCAGAGGTGGGCACTTGTCGGGTACTTTCAGTTTGATTTGCAGGGTCATACTCGAACTGTTGTTGTCAAACAGACCAAACGGGTAGAGCAGGAGCGAGAGGCTTGGGTTCAAATGCCCGCAACCAACGTCAATTGGCACTTTCTTGGGACACTTTATGTAGTCGTGGTGGTGTTTGTGGTTCCAGATGTAGCGACCGAGTACGCTCTTTTTGACTCTCCACGTATGCTCTGCAGTCAGCTTTTGGCCCTCGGTTTCTTTTGCAGCCTTTCGTTTCAGAACCCTCTGTGGCCTTCGCAGATCTGAATGTGCAATAGGGAAATGTATGGGTATGATGGTCCATACAAATAGACATGCCTTTTTTGCTGCAACTTTATTGCGTAGGGACGATCAAACCCCTTAGGATGTTTGGCTATTTGTCTCATGCAAAAAGTTGCAACATGTTCTTTGTCCTTAGAGCTATCACGTGAACTTACCTGTTTGTCTTAACTTGGAGGACACAGGGACGGAAGTTTTTCCTTCTGGCATGGGGCAAAGCGTGGGTGTACTGCTGTCAGCACTTGTGGTAGTAGGGCTACCCAAACCAGCCTCTCTTTTCTCCTCTGGCCGTTCATCTGAGATTGTGGCTCCTGCAGTGTGCAGTGAAGAACGCATGGCAGACCGTGGTATAAATGGCTGTTGGGTTTCCGGATATCGGTTTGCAGTTTCCCTTTGGGCAGGAGCAAGTGAGGGAAATGGAGGAGAGGTGTGGTTTGACTCTGTAGAGTTGACTTTGATGTTGATGTTTATGTGGGGGGCCTGTGAGTGAAGGGAAGGGGTAGATGATCGGAAGCCGGAGTGGAGGCCCTCAGCTCCCGGTTCCAGAGTCACTTGGCTCCCGTGTATCTGGGAGCCGATGGACAGGGAGCCTACGCTCTGGAAATCATGCACATTTCGCGTCATGGACTTGCAAGCGCGCTCCGTCAGCTGTGCTCGGTAGTATTCCGCATCATGCCCGCGGGTTGGCAGCGACGCGACGTCGCTACCGTCGTCTTCGCTCGAGTTGCGGTTTACGGTGACGTGGCTGCCGCTGATGAAACGTCTCTCCTGCTGAATGACGGAGGCATTTTCTCCTGCAGCTAGCAACGTTAGCGAGTCGTATCCGGCACTGTCGTCTCTTGGACGGCACTCTACCTGCTGCGGCGGGTACGTGTCCATGTACTGATGGACGAGTCCCGCCATATCGTGGCGGTTTATCTCGGCGAGCATGGTGTGCAAATTGGCGCAAGAGTTGGGGGAGAACTTGCCGCGTTCGTGCAGCCTCTGCAGGACGTCGATTGCCGGCGTCGGTTTCGCTCCACTGCTCCGCTCCAGTTCACCTGCGAACAGGAGTGACGCGACGTTTTCTTCGCTCATGTTGTAGGAGATTTTGAGTAGGAGATCCCTGAACGCTTTCTCTCTGGATCTACGAGGAGTAGAAGAGGACTGCTCGGTGCATGTCACCGTGCTATGCTTCGGCTGGCCTTCCATGGATCGCTGCTGGTGTGCTTACTCCAAGCTACAGCTGTTTTGTGTAGTAACCTTGCTGGCTAGCTGCACTGATAAAAATGGTAGCAGACCCGGTATTATGTGAACATCTGCAGCAACTCCCTAAGGAGTGTGTAGGACCGCCCAAAGGGGAGATAACCATTATATTTACCGCTGGTAACTTAGTTCGGGATGAGGTGTCAGTTGGAATGAGCAAGCGTAGGACACTAATCTGCACGATGTATTTACTGGTATTTTAATTGTGATTGTTGTTGATTTAGTAAACATAACCTATTGGCTTTAAAATAATGGGAAATCTTATAAAGGTTTGCAGGGTAGGTATTATGAAAAACCAGTACTATTAGACCAGTTCTATATTACCTCAAAGTTTATACCTGACTCAATTTCTTGAGGTGAGGTGCCAAAGTAGAAAAAAGGGATATGTTGCTACGTAAGACAGGAAAGAAAGGAGGAGAGCCAGCCGTGAACATCCACCACCCAAGTATTGCGTGCACATGCATGTCAGAAAGTATATACCAAGTTTGCCTAAGCACTTAACATGACCCATTTTAAGGTATATAGGATCTTTGACTCAGGTAAATTTTGCATTAATTGGTAATGATTGAGCTAATGTGCTATTCAAATGACCACCAAATTAGATGTGTAGAGTGCAGGTTCGTGGGTAAAATTGCATTCATTATGGGCACCCTTAAGGAATGGTGAGCATGTTAGGTTGACGGGACTTTCACAAGAGCGTTTTTCATTCTTATCACTACACGCCTATAGAATGTTAGAGCGCCTTGAGAAAGACACGGAAATACCTGGCATAACTCCATTTATACAGGTGAATTGGCACCCCTACGCAGAATGTGCATATTTTATACATGAGCCAATACACTGGATCATGTGGCAGTGAAAACTCTCAGTGATAACAACACATAATGACCAAGATGTGGAGGTATATAAAAGGGAGATCAACATGGGTGATTCAAACGAAGTATATACATGTTTCGTGTACAGCAAGTCATATTGTAGCAGCTACTCCAGGATGGTTAATGTTCCTGAGAGCTTTCTTGAGGTTTTCCCAAGTTGCTCCCCCTTTGTACTCCTCTTTAATCATGATTCCATCTCTTCCTAGTATCCATGCCCGAATGAGATCCTCTGCATAACTGTCTCGACTGCTGTCTGTTAAATTGTCCCGAACTGTTGCGTCAAAGAGTCCCAGTTCCAGAAATATGTCCTTCAGTTCTTGTTTGCTCAGATGCTGCAGATGCCTCTTGGCAATGTGGAGATCTCTGTCGATATCTGTTAAAGTTGGGCGAGAGGCAGCTAACTTTGCTAAGCGAGATTGTGAGGCTAAGTATAGTTATATGGCAAACAGATTGAGCCTATATACATGTGGAACCATAACTAGAGCTCAGAGAAGACGGCTTTCGCCCCACAATCTAAAGCAAAGTGTCTCGCATACCTAGTAGGAGCTTGCTCTCAGTATGTGTACTCATATCCACAGCTTCTGTAAAAATCATGAATTTTAGAAGCTGAAAGAGCATGACAGAGATTATACCTTTAATAGCAGGAATGGCGGTTGGACAATCAAGGTGTATGTCGTACACAATGTCACTGGTGGCACCTTTGAAGACAATCTTGCCGTCGTCTAATGTTGCATTCTCCCTGAAAGAAGCAAAGTAGCCCTCAAATCGTGGAGGGTAAAACTTATCACTCTTCAGAGTGTTAAGTTCCCCCTCTGTAAGCCTTCTTTTCACAAAGAAATCCACCTCACTGCGAAACACCTGTATCAGTGCAATAGCGCTCTCACAATCACAATAAGGTATAGAGCTATTATAAACCTTTCTATTATACCTTTGTGTTTCCTGATAATCCAATTTTGCCGTGTTTTGGTTGAGTTATAACCATCTCTAGCGCCGGAGTTCTGGTGTTGGTGTTGAATTGAAATTTAAGCTGCTTTGTCTTATGTCCATCCAATTCCATTGTTGCTATTATATCGTCTACCTTCTTGAGGCAAGTTTTTAAATTCAGAAAAGTGATTATAAAGTATAAATTAATACTTTTGCCAACTGGTATTGAGAATTTTGGAAGAACGGCAGTAATGCAGAACAATGCCTTTTGAAGGCTCTTTGGTATGTCTCTTGCAGCGATACAAAGGGAACAGAAATGCAATGTTCGAAGAATTCCATGTGATTTGAAAGTTTGAAAGTCCATCTCTCCATCTGTTGGGTTGAATTCGTACAGCCCCTCAGAGTTCTTGTTGTGGTCTGCTTTGAGAAATGTAAGACCCAGAGATTGGATGTCGTCCTCATTTTCAAGATTAAGGAAGTGAGGGATGGTGACTGGGACGTGTTTGGAGAACTGGAAGTTTTTCTGGTCACGGACACAGACCCAGAACACGGGAGACACAGGTCTCAGACCTTCTGGGAACTGGAATGGGCCAAAGAGACCGACTCCCACGTCAACAGTGTGGCTCTCTCCCTCAGGAATGGCTCCCTCTGGGATCTCCAGACTGAAGTCGTTGGCCTCGTCTGTGAACTTTCTTCCCTCACTTGTGCAGTCAGATAAGATGGACAACGGAGTCATAGATTCGGGAAGAAGACATCCATCAAAAGTTCTCTCTCCTTCAGTAGCTATAAAAAAAAAAAAAAATAGCATTGATCGACTTGAAACGTTGAAATCCAGCCAGAATGCAGTGAAAAAGACTGACCTGATGTTGTATCAAAGTTGAAAAACTGTGGGTGGTTGAAGTTAAGCAACTTTGGTGTAGTCACTAGGTTTTGTCCTGCTGGGCAAAATAGAGTGGCGAAGGACACAGTGTGAATGAATACCAATGTGTGGAATATAGAACATACTGTGTTTAGGGGACTCAACTTCTACCAAGCTTGGAGCCGAGGTGTCTTCTTTATTACACAAGTGGCTGGTTGTAATGTGGAACTCCAATGCAGAGGATTCGCACTGCTTGATTATGTGGTGTGGAAGGAAACTGTGGATGTAGATCATCCCTTGATCGAATGGGATTCTGTATGACTTGTGTGCATATTCCAATTGTGTCCCTGGTGTTGTTCTGGTCTCCGCAGAGCAAATTTTCAATGACAGATTATAGGAATCAGTAGGGAGCAAGGGTGGGCATTCATCTGGTATTAAGATCTTGAGTTGCAGAGTCATGTTCGAACGCTTGTCGTCAAACAGACCCAACGGGTAGAGCAGGAGCGACAGGGTTGGGTTGAAGTTCCCACAACCAATGTCGATTGGCACTTGTTTGGAGCATTTTATAAAGGCGAAATTGTAGCTTGGGTCCCAGATGTACCGCGCCAAAAGACCCTTCTCTACTATCCATATTGCATGTGTAGCTAACCCACGACCCTTCTTTGCTTTTGAACCACCCCTGCCAGGCAGGAACTTCATTTTCCACTTGCGGCTTTCTTTTAGTGACTGTTGATCTGAAAGAAACATGGTAATCATTGCTAGTTTTGCTGACAAGTGAACTGTACCTGGCCCTTGGTTCGAGATGTAGCGGCCGAGAATGCTTTTTTTGACTCTCCACGTGTGCTGTTCAGTCTGTGTTTGGCTGTTTGTTTCTGTATGTACCAAAACCCTCAGTGGTTGTGGATCTGAGTATGCATAGTGACTGATTTTCATAACGATTTATTGGTATGATGGTCCATGCAACATGCTGCATCTTTTTTTCTGCAACAGAGGACCATCCCACCCTCCACTATTAGCGACACTAGAAAATACTCGTCCTTCACCTTTACCAATTTTTGTGCATATCAAGCCTATACTTCATTTCTCTGTTACGCATTCTGACATGATCCCTTTTAGCCTGTATCGTCCAACCAACCCTCTGTAAAGTCTCAAAAGGCATACCACCCCACACTTTTCAGCCATCGATATCCGACCGACTCCACAAAGGACAATCATGCAACTTTCTCCCTCGGCACTGCACTCCCTCACAATCAATACCACTTTGAAGTCGCATGAGATATTTGCTCTACTGTGTAACTAAGTGAACTCTACCTGACGTAAAGAGAAAGGGAGACTTTATTTTTGGCACGGGTGAAGTGGGTGTACTTCTTGCACTGCTGGCGTCAGGGCTGCTCTGACAAGCCTCTCTTTTCTCCTCTGGCCTTTCCTCTGAGATGGTGGCTTCTGCTGTGTGTAGTGAAGAACGCATGGCAGACCGTGGACCCCATCTCAGTGAGGTTGTCCGATGTATGATATGGGCAGGGATAGGTGGGGATGATAGAGGAAGCGAATCGTTGGATTCCGGTAAGGGTTCTGTAGAGTGGATGTTGCTAATGTCGATTCTAATTGAGGGGAGGGTAGGTCGATAGAGAGTAGAGTGTCAAGGCGCCTCGGGCTCCGGCTCAGTCCAGCATCACTTGGCTCCCATGTGTTTGGGAGCCGATGGACAGAGAGCCTGCGCTATGAAAAAAAAGCACATCTCCCGTCATGGACTTGCACTCTGGCCGAACTGTCAAAGCGCGACAGTCGTTTGTCTGATCAGTGAGCCGGCAGGGTATTCATTTTCTAGCTCAAAGTGGGGATCTTGGTGGACACAGGGATATGCGCTGCCAGGCTAGCTACGCGACGAAATCCAAGTCTATCGTGACGAATAATCACCGAGGAAATTAAGGCTAATTAGCTCGTCTGACGTGTACGGCGTCATTTGCGAGTCATAGCTGCGACGCGTCGTCGTCCGCACCCCAGCCGGGGAGGAAGTACCTGTGGCTAGCGGGTACGGTACATGTATCTGATTGACGAGCTGCGTGCAGTGCATCGTGGCGTGTCCGGTTTATATTGTCGGCGATGCATCGTGATGCAAATGCCGCAAGAGTGGGGGAGAACTTGCGCGCTCGTGCAGCTCTGAAGGGTGGGATTTGTTCGATGGGGGTTTTTGTTGGTTTGGTTTTGTGTTTTTTTTTTTTGTTGTGTGTTGTGTGTGTGGTGTGTTTTTTTGTTTGTTTGTTTGTTTTTTTTTTTTGTTTGTTTTTGTTTTTTTTTTTTGTTGTTTTTGTGTTTTTTTTTTTTTTTTTTTTTTTTTTGTTTTTTTTTTTTGTGTTTTTTTTTGCCGGTGTCGGTTTTCGATCCATTGCTCAGTCCAGTTGCACCTGAAGAACAGAGTGAGAGTACGTTTTCTTCGCTTTTCATGTCTGGATATTTGAATAGGAGATCCTCTGAACGCCTTGTCTCTGGATCCTAGGCTCATGCGCCTCTGCAGGCGATGATTGCTGTGGGCGGGTGTCGGTTTTGCTCCACCGCTCGCGCATTTTCAGTTCACCTGTGAGGTCATACAAATCAACAGCACATTACGAGTAATAGTTGCGGCAACTTATGCTAGGGACAATCAAATACCAAGGCAATGTCTCGTGCAAAAGGTCAACTGCTGCAAACTGTATCTTTGTCCTTCGAGCTAGCTATCACATGACTTCCTAGTTGTCTCTGGAGGACCAGGACTGGACGATTCTCCTTCTGGCATGGGAGAAACGAAAGCTTGGGTATAGACTTGCTACACCACTTGTGGTCGGGTAATAGGGTATCCCAACCGCCTCTCTTTTCTCCTCTGTGCCTGTCTCGTTCCTCTGAGAGGTGGCTTCTGCAGTGTGTCAGTGAAGAGATGCTATAGACAGTAGATCATCCCGTGGTGTGAAAATGGCGGTGCGCGAGGATGATCTGGTGTGAGTATGTCACGTTGACATGCATCGGGTGGGGGCAAAGTGAGAGGGAATGGAGAAATAGGAGGAGAGGAGGGTTTGACTCGCGCTTAGCGTGACTTTGATGTTGATGGTTATGTGGTAGGGGCCGCCTGTAGTGAAGGAAGTATGTTTAAAAGAACGGAAGCCGGAGTGTGGAGGCTGCCTCAGCTCCTGGTTCAGAGTCACTGGCTCAGTGTGTATACTGAGAGGACGAGGACAGGGAGCTGCGCTCTGAAAATCTCGACGTCATGGAACTTGCAAAGGTCGCGCATCCGTCTGCTGTGCTCGGTGGGTAATGCACGCGGGCTGGCGAGACGCATCCACTACAGTCGTCTTCGCTCGAGTTGCGGTTACTGGTGCTTTTGCTGTGGCATGCCGCTGATGAAATCTCT